AAGAGGAGCTGGACACCGTCCCTCCCGGTCAGCATTTGGCACAGGGCTGGGGTGGTGAGGGGTGACTGCATGGGCTGTCTCTGCCCTGGATGGGATCTAAAAGATGCCCAGGCACGTTATCCTCCAAAACACCAGACTGCCTCTTTAACAGGCACATAAGGGCAAAGACTTGGTTCGACTGTTGGCTTGACAGGGGAAGAGCAAAGCTCCAAACACTCAAAAACAACTGTGCCAAGAGGCAGCGTGAAACAAAAGGGCGCAGAAGGGCATGAGCACCGGGCTCACCAGCGCCGTACAAGTGCTGCCCCAGCTTAAAATAGGGAGAAATACCCCACCTGAAAGTGGGCATCCTGACAAGTCCTCATCCTACAGTGACAGTGGCCGGGTTGAGCAACACTCCATTTATGAAAGGTTTAAGGGGGCCATTGGAATGTCTTTACTGGTAATTTTTGCTGCTTTGAACATTTTCTGTTCGAACCAAACTCCTTAGCTATCTCTTCTCTGCACTGCTCTTTTCCTTCTTCCTTCATGGATCTTGAGATTGCTTCCAAGGGAGACCAAGACTCCCATGCTGTCTGAAATACCATTTTCAGGTTTATTTTCCTTTTTAATTAAGATGAAAAAATATAAATGAGGATACAATAAAGAATTTATTTTGGGGGACACAAACACCACGCATACAATTTTTGAAGTACAATGCTCCTATAGCTCGGAGAACCAGGTGTTTGGAATCATAGCATTAGCAGCAAGAGCTCAAAGAAGGATTTTTTTCTCATTGTTTTATTTGTTTATGAAGATAAAAGGCTGTGAAGTTGCATTTTGTTCCTATCCAGCACAATGAACCCCATGGGTTTATACTGGTTAAGGCTGCTCTGATTCACCCCATTGTGGACAATTGCTTACCTTTGGTGAGATTTGGAGTCTGGAATATAGCAAGTAAAATAGTAATTGTAGTAAAATTGCTGATTCATGAGGCAGTTCTTAAAAAAGTTAAATATGCCCTTTAGCATCAGTGATAAATGGAAGATGGGGGCATTGTAGGAATAGCGGGAGCATTAGAAGGAACGAGTCTGTTAGCATTGAAGAGAAACCCAGAAAGGGAGGTTTGGTATACAGGGAGCGAAAGGAAGACAGGCAGAAAGAGGAGACTTTTAGGCTGAATGTTTGGATCACCTGCAGAAGTGGGTAAAGTCAAAACTGTCTGAATATGCTCCTAAAAAGTACAAAAAGCAGCTGCACCAGGGGCTGGACTGTATGTAATGGCTGTCCTGCACAGTTTCTCTGTGTTGACAATCGGAACTTCGCAACAGGGTGCCAAACAGCCTGTATCGCAACATCTTCCTCCTTCTTGAAAAAGGGATCTGGCCTTACTAAATATCTAAGCTGACATTTTGGTGAGCTTTTTAGGGCCAGGATTCATCAAGAGAATTTTGCAGGCAGCTTGGAAAAGCAAAACGATGCATTAAAATAGAAGTAAGTTTTCTTGACTTGGCTAAAGTCCCTGGAAATGTATTTCTTTTTGACTCTTCAGATGCAGCACTTCTTCCCTGTGACGTTATGGGAGCAGCTCCACATCCTGCCAAACTTTTTGCTGGTTTTGAGAGCAAAACTGAGTTTTGGTCTGAGGATGCTATTTGGCTTTTCCAAACGAATGTCATGAGCAAGTGGTCATGGTTGGGTGGATGAGATCAAGGTGCATCAAGAGCTGAAGGCTCTTGATTAAGTTTCTAATAAAAAGGAAGATGAAGAAGATCCCTGTGCCAGAAATACCTTCCCTCTGCGAGAATATGGTCCCCATGGTCTTTATTCTCCTTTAGGCATCAGCCTCCCGGGCAGTCGCAGAGGCAGAACCCAGAGGCCACGTGAACCTCTGGTCTGCGCTGTTGTGACCATTTTGGTAATGGAAATCTCCACAGCTGAGGTGACGCTTCTGTACCTGAATGGGAAAGACCGTGTTTTTGAGTGGATGAGACACGTGAATGCTTGTTCTTTCCCTTGTAATAATAGACACGCGCGTTTTTAATGGGCGTTGTACACAAAACTCCTCCTGTGGCTGTGCGCTGCCTCTGAGAGAGCTGCCATGCCCAGGCTCTGTTTCTCTGAGTATGCTGGTGCTGTAGTTGACCACCAGCTCCTTACCCTCTGTGGCAGGGAGAACATGATTTGGAGGAGGAAATGCTGGGCATTTTTCTTCAAAGAGGAAAGGTTAAGGAGTTACAGCGGGTCAGGTGGCTCTTCTGAAGCCATCTGTGCCCTAGCATGGTGGGATGACATCTGGGGTGAGGAGATGAATCCTTCAGGAACTATTACTCTGTTACTGCATTTTAACTAATTTCCTATTTTAAAGTCTCTCTCTCTTTTTTTTTTTTTTAAATTTTTTCCCCAAGGTTTTTCTTTGATTGCCGGAAAAAAAAAGTTTCTTTGTTAACATAACTTAGGCTGTGTTGGTCATGCTGCTAAGAACAATACAGCTGTATGCATCTATCTGTATACATCTCCATTCTGCACATACGCATGGCATTTCATTGGGATTAATATTAATCTAGAATTTATCCTATCACTTTAATGTTTTTTCCCCTAGAACTACTGAATTATAAACTTGTTTCTACCTTTTTAAAAATTATTTATTATTTCTTTTCTTATTAACATGCAAAGTGGTAAATAAAATGAGCCCAACCTTCTACAAAGAAGATTCAATCTGCTGTTAAAGTTACAGGGTCAACCAGCTAAATGGGGATTAGTAACATAATGACAGAGCATCAGCCAGGCAACATAGCAGGATTTGCAAATCAGTAACAATAATGCTCCCTTTCTATCTGTTGTTTAATTGATTGCTTAGGGTTTGGAGATGGGGTCTCGGGCCGTGGGTCTGTGACCGTGGGTGGATGGCTCACCCACTCCCCGGCCTTAAAACATCGGGGCCTTTCTGGAGAGTCAGAGGCTAATTTTGAGCCCCTCTTCCTATGCACACCCCACCACAGCAGGCTGGGGGTAGTGCAAAGGTGCCCGAGGAGGAGCTGGGAAAGCTCACCCCTGCAGCAGCATTATACAGAAAGGACAAGAACCCCAAAAAGACAAATATGATATAAAAGGGAAGAAAGAAAGAAAATGGCAGAGGATTTGTCTGTGAATAACGTGCCTAGCAACTCAGTGCTTAAATGATAGAAACTGGCACGTACGAGGCAGAGGAACAATGTCTTGCTCTGACTTGCTGACAGACTGAGAAGGAGAGACAATCCTGACAGCAGAGCCTGGTGAGAGGGAGCAGAGGGAAAAAGGTTTTCCATGGCCTGACAGTAAGGGTGGCAGGAAAAGTGTTTTCCTCATCCTGTACCCTTTTCGGGTTTCCAGCCATCTTACGTGCTAGTCCTCACGTTTGGTTTGGGCGAGGACACCGTTAATACACGCTGCCGTAAAAACCTCCCTCTGAAAAGCAGCATTTTAAAGCACCAGGAAGGAGACATTTAGCCTCATCACCTCAGTGGCTGTTCGCATGCCGTTCTTTCCATTGGAAATGGCACCACCGGCTCGGGACTGTCCGTGGGATGCTGCCACATGGAGCGCACAGGGCAGAAGGAGCCAGCCAGTGCTCCCAGGGAACGAGACAAGGCAGTCTGTCCCTGTGCGGCCCTTTCTTTTGAGCAGAGGCTCACCACCACTGTTTTTGGTAGCCTCACGTGGGACCTGAGCTGGCACTGCTGTTTCTGACAAGGTCTGGTAGGTGCCTGGCAGCATCCTCATCCAGGAGTGGGGAGACAGCTGAAAGCTGCTGGGGCAGAGGCACCAGGTCATCCCTTCCTGGCTTCTGAGCTTGGGCTAAGGGGTGAACACGGCGACCCACATGTGTCCCTGTAAAAACGGTGGCCTGGCCACTGCTCAATGCCCTGCTTCACCAGGCATGTCATCTTTGGGAGCTCCAAGCCAGCCCTTGCTCCTTTGAAATGCTTACATTTAGGAAAAAAGAAATGTTTCCTGCTGTACTTGACATTTTCTTATTATCTATGCGTGTTTAATCCCTCTTTGTGTCCTGCTGAGCTTCTGAGAAAGCAATTTAGAGGCTTTATTCCAAGGAAAATCGAAAGTTAGCAGGTATTATTAGTATTTATACCAGGGCACACGTTAATTTCGATTTTTTTCGGAAAGGGAAACGGGAATATCGCTGCCGACTTGAGCTGTGCAGTATCTGAGGTCATAACTCCTGTTTGTGCACCTAAGTCATGCCTCTGCTTTTGGGTCTGCCCCGTCGCAGCTGCTGTGTCTCGGTGTGCGAAGCGGGGACTCTCGCGGATGGCCAAAAGCACCTCGGTCCTTTGCCATTCCGGCCATTCCCTGGCTGGTGAGTGTGACCTCAGTGCAAAACCAATGCTGGTCGTACATGGAACTCAGTGGCCTGACTCTAGCTTTGCCCCAGAAAAATTAGGAAAATTTTATTTCTTTAAATTGATATTTTGAATCTGTTTCTCAGGGGGACTCTAGACCTACTTACCTCTCTCTGCCTCGGGCCAGATTGCTTTTCCTGATCTATGTGACATATAGTCTTGATCTCTTGGTGCCATTTAGATAATTATACTCATTAACAGACCTAAAAGGAGGTGTCGGATTAATTTTGATGGAATAACTAGGCTTCCTCACAAGAGTTACCATGGTCCTGTCACTGTGCAACGCGGAGGAGTTACACCCAGGTCGGTGGTGTGAACAGAGACCCTAGAGCCAAGACGCTTGACCACAGCGGAGTGCAGGAAGAAGTTTCCTTCCCCCGCTGGTGGAAATAGCTACTTGAAAAGGAGGCGCAGCGCTTCGACTGCAAGACCTTGGCTACCACCTTCTTCTCTTCCTGTGTTTTTGTTCCAGGCATGTGCGAGAGGAGCGCCGGGCTGCAGGCTCCTGTAGAGCACGTGGCTTGGGTGCCAGGCTTTCACGCAAGCCTCGTCTGGATCCGCGCAGAGCCAGGAAACACCGCGGCAGTCGGTAGGGACAAGACGCGAAGCGGGTAATTTTTTGGCAGTGCTCTACATCAAATATTTGGCAGTTGGAACAACAGGAGATGGAGAAAGCTTTGAGATAAATACAAATGGCAATTTCTGACTCAGATCAGAGGGAAAAATCAAGTATAATGTCATGCAAAAGGATTATCTATAAAACCGGAAAGATGTGTTTGGATGCAAAAATACTGGATGCTGTTGAAAATGTTCTCTAGAAAAGAGCTTGGTTGCTAGTAAGTCCCCATTCCTCTCTGGACCACCTCCTGTAGACTTATTGTTCCCTTTATATTAACATCTCCAGGACTGTTCCATGGAGATACATGTGTGCAGGCTGGAAATCTTAAATCACAGACTGATTGTCTGTCAGATGCAGGCAAGGGAGGAAAGATGCAGTGGCAGATAATTTAGAAACCACAGGCCTTGTCACACCACCTACGCTCATATCTCGGCTGTACAGCCGGATGCTTTAGGTTGGATGGTGATGGTTTTGCTAAATGCAACCAAAGCCACGTTGTCCCACTGGAACTTAAGAGAAGCCGTTGTTTTCCACAGGTTCTTCATAGATAGCAGTTCTCCCAGGCAGCTGGGGAGACAGAGAATTTGCTTCACCCAGGAATCTAAACCTGTTGTTCACAGGTGGGGTGAGGGACAGGACGGGGGCTCAGCAACCCAGGGTAAGGAGCCAATACCAGGGTGATTTCATTCCCTGACATGGCAACTCAAACATCAGAGGAACCTGCCTGTGTTAATATAAAATGGTTTTAACTTTCAAAATTTTCCCTGTTCACGTGAAAACAAGAATGAAATTGAAGTTTTTAAAAGAAAAATGTCCTCAGTGAGAGGAAGCTGGTCATCTCTGTCACCCTTTCTCTTGGCGCTCTTTCAGAAAACGCCAACCCTGTAACGAGTTGCCGAGCTTGGGTCCTTGGGACACCAGGGCTGTACCTGTGCAAATGCATCTTTTCCAACAGCTCCCCGCTCCAACAGGCTCCCGCTGGCCTCGGGGGCTTCTGGGGCAACTCTTCCCTTCTTGAGCTCCCTACCGTGAGAGTGAAACAGGGAAAAAATGGGATTGAGACAGGGGATGGGGCACAGTCCTGTGCAGAAAGGGAGGCTGAGACGCCTCCATTGCCCCTGTTCTGGGGCCTGCATGGCTCTGCAGGGCTGGGGGCCGCGGTGGGGAGCTGTAGCTGGGGTGAGTCCCCGGAGCAGGGTGCAGCGTGTTGTCTGGATGTCTCCCTCCGACACGCGGCTGGGGAGGCAGAGAGAGCTGAGGCACCAAACTCGGAATGCCCAAGGTGCTCCTGGTGCGATCTGGGTCTCTGCAAGCCCTTGCCCCAATCCCCTCCATGATATGTCTGTGCGTAATTGCAAATGTTTTGTTTGAGACAAAAAAGAACACCATTCCTACCCATTCCAGATAAGCCCGAATTTACTTTTGGAAATTAAACCCATGACATAAAGCTGTTATTTTCCAGCTTTCCCACAGGCAGAACCAAGTAACGCTTTGCTACGGGAAGTGTGTGGTTCTTACAAGTCCACTGCCCACTCACTGCTGGTAGGCAGGGACCTGCTGCGACAGGATACATGTTACATATGTGTCATTTGCAACATTTATAAAATATGTTTTACAATTTACATAAATTTACAAACATTTGCATTGCCTGGGTGCCCGTCAGTGTGTTTATACATCCATATGAGGTATGCTGCTCCACACGTGAACCGAAAAAGGAAGACAGTCTGGCTCTGGATAGGCAGTATGGTAAATACATGCCAGAACACAGGCTGGGAGGCTGCTCTCCCAGCCATCCAGAACAGGGACCTTTTCCACTCCTTTTTAGATCTGTTACCAGTGCCCAAACCTGGAAACAAGGAAGAAGTAAATGGGGTCAAGTCACATTAGTCTGATTCTACTGAAATCTGGTAAATAAGTTTGTTACAGTTTCTTTTTCGAGTATTTCTGAAAAGGTTTTTATGTGTTTTAATAAAAAAATTGCTTTCAATGACTGTCTCAGTTCAGCATTTGAAGGACTTTTTTTGTACATGTCCTGGAATTCCTGTGACAGAGAAATGTCAGAGCCCTGAACAGTCTCGTAAGAGGTGGCAACAGGAGTGAACCTCTACTGCAGCTCTGGTGTCAACCTCTGAACACCATCCTTTCCGGAAAACACTGTTTTCAGGGTATTCATGTACTTCTTCCCAGGCCAAAGAAGAACATGAGAACAGATGCAGAACAGATTTTCATATAATATTTTCTTCTTGTGTGTGTGTATATATATATGTGTATGCATATGCCTATTCTCACACAATTTTACATATACTTAATTAAAGCAATCTTTAAGTTTATCGCAAGACTACTGTGAGCTTATACATACAAGAAAAAACAGATCTGAGGAATACTTTATTTAAAGATATTTAAATATAAGTGGCAGAAGAAATATGAACTTTTGAATTATTTTCAAAATTCATTAGTGAATCATGGTGAAAATGCATTTCACTGTGGGAGGAATTGCAGTAAACCAGGACTCCAGTTTTATTTGTTTCATGCTTTTGAGAATACCAGCTGAAGTTAACGGGACAATTCTTATGGGTAAAATGAGCTGGATTCGCTCCCAGGAACACCTGGCTGGACTTAGAAAAAAAACCCTTAAGCCTGGAATGCAAAACCTTCCCATTGCTTGGAAAGGGAAATTTGAGCAAAAGGAGGGCACCAACACGGTTTTGGGGAGTCTAGGCAGAACATTACTCATTGGAAGGAAGAGATCAAGTTTCCCTGAAATCTACAGCTCTGGGGATTGTAAATTTGTTTTGCCATAATTTTAGATGGGAAGCCAGATCCACTTCTTCGTTAGGAAGAGGGGAAGCAGAAGGGAATGCCCTTCCTCCTGGTAAAAATAATCTTTCCTAGTGCTCTAAAATAGTAGTTGGTGGGCCTGTGGGTTAATGGAATAAGTAACTGAAACATTATACTCTTCTCACCAGGTTAATTTACGGAAATGTATGATTTTTTTGGTACTGCAACCTTTTTGGGTTTGCTTTGATACTTCCCTCTCTCAAAATTTAAACTGGATTTGTAGCCAGATATGCAGCACATTAATCTGTTACAAGGATGAATGAATGAACATTGATGTTATTGTTCGGGTCTCTTTCACCTAGAAAGAAAGGGTAGGGGTATGGACAACCTCCTTCTCACCTCAGCATGCCCTAGTGAGTTGCCTAAACTCTGTGAAAGGTGGAGCATCCAAATAACCTGACCCACTGTTGGTTTTTTTTTTCTGAACAGCTGACCCCAACGCCAAATATGTGACTCATGGTCCATCCAGCAAAAATACTGGGAGCAGTCTCTGGGTTGCTGCGAGAGCCCCACAGGATGCAAAGAAGATGAAGATGGAAGGAACCTGGCTGGGTTTCACAGTTGGACAGCACTTGCTGGCTCTGGGACGCAGGCACTTTGCAAACAAATAGAGAAACATGGTATTTAAAAAAAACCAAACAAACAACTATTGCTGTTACACTGTCTCATCTGGCACGGGCACGTAGCTGCTGCTCCTCTGCTCTCTGATTTGTGAGAGCCCTGGTGGGTCTAAGTCATGGTTTCTGAGATGCTGAAAAAGGGGAGGAAGTCTGAAGCATCAGCCAGGGTAACCTGGTATCAGTGGACATGCTTGTGTGGGTTCCTGAGGATATGCTGGCTTGGGGGGCAGATTCAAGTAAGAACGAGCTGGAATTTGATTGCCAGCAGAACATCTTGTGGGAATGATACTGAGAGAAACGTGTGTGGGCGCATGCCCTGAAATAGGTAGCTTTCAATTAGAGATCACCTGGCTGTAAATCCCTACGCAGGGAGTTTGGTATACAGCACTGAAAGGAACCAGTTTGGTTTTTTAATGTGCTGTCCCTTCTTGTTTCTTTCAGGTGGATTTCAGGAAATTCAGGCTGTTTGTTTGCCTTGTAGGGCTCAGCTGTGCTAGCTTCTGGGTTTTTCAGAACAAATTGACCGAATTCTGTATATTCTGTGAAAACAGCCAAGCTTACGTATTCTCCACAGAGACTTTTAGGAGAATCGGAGGAAATTTCTCACAGCTCCCAGATATAGACTGCCACAAGAACCCACCTTTCCTTGTCCTGCTTGTGACATCCTCGTACCACCACCTTGATGCCAGGATGGCCATCCGGCAAACCTGGGGGAAGGAGAGAATCATCGCCGGTAAGCGCCTGGTGACATATTTCCTTCTGGGGAGCACTGTGAATCTCAGCCAGCAGGCTGACATTGCTGCTGAAAGCCAAAAGTACAAAGACATTATCCAAAAGAATTTCACAGACACGTATTACAATTTGACTTTGAAGACCATGATGGGAATCGAATGGATTCACAGATTTTGTTACCGGTCCAGCTTTGTGATGAAAACTGACACAGATGTGTTTGTCAATGTTTTTTACCTCACTGAGCTGCTTCTAAGGAAAAAGAGGACCACTAGATTCTTCACAGGCTTTTTAAAACTGCACGAGTACCCCATACGGAGAATAGGGAGTAAATGGTACGTCAGTAGAGAAGAGTATCCAGGGAAAACCTACCCCCCGTTTTGTTCTGGGACTGGCTATGTTTTATCCACCGATGTTGCCAGTCAGATCTATAATGTTTCAGAGAGCATTTCATTCATTAAACTGGAGGATGTATTTATAGGACTGTGTCTTGCCAAATTAAAAATTCGGCTGGAGGAGCTTCATTCAGAGCAAACATTTTTTCCGGAAAGGATTAGGTTCTCCGTTTCTCGCTTTAAGAAAATCGTGATGTGCCACGAAGTAGCACCATCTGAGCAGCTGAGTTACTGGAACCTCTTAGTGACAGAAAATCACGGAGGAGTGCTCTAGCACCTTCCCTCCTCAAATGAACAGACTGAAATGCTCTGCATTTACAGGGCTGCTCTTGACTCCAGCGAAACTTCCAACTAACTCTAGATCCATCATGTCAAAGAATTTTTTAACAGTTATTTTAATCTCCATTTCTGCCC